AGAAAACAGTAAATCCTCTTATGAGCTGTTTGAATGTGCAAACTTATTTAGTTTTAATCTCTTTAATGTCTCTCTTCTTTTTGTGTTTCGGCAGAGAAATTACTTCCCTCCAAGTCAATCATAAAATCTGGTTTCTCACCTAATTTGGACAAGTAAGTGACGACGAAGACCAGGAAGTTATTGTTGACTATTGTTGCAGTAAAACGTCAATTGAACGCCGGGTGTGGCTACACATTTACACAAAGAAACGCAGGTTTCAACTGAATCTTCCTCGTAAAAATGTGGATTAATTAGCAAGATTATAATTTTATAAATAAAATATTATCTCCTATCTCATTTAAGGCGATTGTTTTATAAATTAGGCCCAATGTTCCCACATTTCCTTTTTCATAAATTTGAATCAGATTTTATCCCCCTTTCTCCCAATGTGTTAGCCAGTTACACCCGACCGATTATCCAGCAGCAATGGACTACAGATGGACTGTAGCTTTAAGCCAAATCTGGTGCGCCCATCTCTTTGTTTATTGCAAACATTTAATATAAGTGCACATTGTCCTTTTAAATAAACAAACTAAACTTCAAACTAAAATTTAAAAAATAACAGAGTTGAAAAATATAGAATATTATAAGATTTTTTTCCCTGTTCTGTTTGATATTTTTTTGTGCGTAGACACATAAGTTACGTAGTTTTTTATCTTTTAACCTTCTTAAAACTGTGGTTGTCTTTTCAACATCGATTAGCCTAGCACGTAGTTATTCGATATCTTAATTTCTATAAAAGTACGAGTATTTTTCCATCTTTGCCGAGCGAGACTTTTGCGTGAAAGAAATTAAAGGCCCGTCTCAAATAAAGGCCGGTTGAGTTGAGTGAAGCAAATAAAAGTCTTGAGCTATTTAATAGAAGTTTCACAGCATATTAATGTTTTATCCCTTTACTTTATTACCAGCTGTGTATATTTTCTACTGTTTTTCCTCCACAGGAAAGCAAACAAGACAGGAGGGGTGGAGTTTAAGGACGTGATGAAATCCCAAACGCTCCCACGCTCCAACGGGGCTCAGGCCAAACGGGCCATGTTTGAGAGGATGAACTCAGAGCCCACAAAGTACGTATTTATTTTTAATCTAAATTATTTTAATTATCTTCAGCAGTTCAGATAAAAAAACGACATTCTCGTGTTTCTCTTGAACAGACCGAAGGACTCGAAGCCGAAACTGAAGCGCTCTCAGAGTTTCGGCGTGTCCAGTGCCAGCGGTATAAAACAGATCCTCCTGGAGTGGTGCCGCTCAAAAACCATTGGCTACCAGGTCTGACCAAATCTGTCATACTTCCTCCTGTAATTCCCAAACAGTAACACAGCAGACATCTTTGTTGTATTACCGTAAAACTTCTAATAATAGCCCGGGCGTTTATTTGCTTAAGTCACTGAACTCCCCCTGCCTTTATTGGGGACAGGCCTCTATTTGGGACAGGCCTTTAATTCCTTTAGCACTAAACTAAACTCTAACTGCTGCTTCTCTTGAGTTTTGTTCAGCAAATTTGACAACTAACATGATGATTATGATGCTTCAGAGGTTTTTTTTCCATCTCTCTTGTTTACCGTGTTACCGGTAATTCAGAATTAATTAACGTTAAACTTTGTTGTTGTTTGTTTTCTTAAAATATATTGAATGATTGAATTGTGGAGAATCTATAACTGATCTAACGATGTTCGTTATGTACATACTGACAGAAGTTTAAACATTTATATTTGTGTAGGAGATCAAAACGACTTAAAACTCGCTCAAACGGGCGACTCGGTGGGTTTTAAGAGGTTTTATACATCGAGATAATTTCTCTAAAATCCAGACCAGGCCTCTATTGGAGACCTGCGTTTATTTGTCAAAACATGTAGCCACAGCAGGCTTAAGGACCCTGCTTTTTATTGGAAGTTTTACGGTATATATCTAAACTACTAAAGAACAGGCTTGTAAAAATAAGATAAAGGGTCAGAAAGCACAAAAGAACTATGAAATATGCATAAAATATGTCAGTCAGGGGTCCTTTAAAGTAAAATATAAGGTAATAAATGTTTAACTTGACGCCGTTGTCATCGTCTTTCTCCCAGAACATAGATATCCAGAACTTCTCGTCCAGCTGGAGCGACGGGATGGCGTTCTGCGCTCTGGTCCACTCTTTCTTCCCGCTGGAGTTTGACTACAACACGCTGGACCCCGCCAACCGCAAACACAACCTCCAGCTGGCCTTCACCACCGCAGAGTAAGAAAGACCTGATGAACGAGTGAATGAGTGAATGAATGAGTGTAAGAGTAGAGGTTTTCTGACCTAAAGGATATTTTTTACTACAGTTTAGTTGAGCTGTATTTTGAGCAGAGATTGGAAGTAATAAAGTACAAATACTTTGTTGTTTATTTCCGTGAAACAAAACTATATATATAACTGAATATAGTTTTAAAGGTTAGATTATTATTTAAGATATAAACACAAGCTGTATTCACAGAGCCTTCACTCTCTGATAAACAGCCTCATCCTGCTTTAGAAAGGTTAAAACAACCAAACCAGGCATCAGAGAGAATATAAAACTGAATTTGTCACAGAAAAAAGAGGCTTATTAAAGCGTTGTTGTTAAAAACTAAAAAAAAAAACACATAATACAGACAGAGAATTGTATAAAACGTTGCCTAAATATATCATCAAATTCATCCAAATTGCTTGTTTTACACAAACTTCCTGCATTTATTTGTTGTGTTCATTATTTGGGTTCATTGTACAGTTTATCAGCTGTTATCTACTATTACTGCGTCCAATATAACATAAAATATCCAGAAAATATGTCCCTTAAGGAAAAAAGGTTGGGAACCAGGTTGATTTCAGTGTTTGGATCTACTTTAATTGATTTTAACGTCACTACTAAATGAATAGAAATAGATAAAGTTGTTTACATGTCATTCATCTTCCCCCTCCCTCTCCTGTGATTGTGTTCCAGGCAGCAGGCCGACTGTCTCCGTCTGATCGAGGTGGAGGACATGATGGAGATGGGGGACAAGCCGGACCCAATGTGTGTGTTTACATACGTCCAGTCGCTCTACAACCACCTGAAGACGTTTGAATAACTCTGTATCAGAGTACATCTTTCACACTTTAAATGAGCCTCTGACAAGCAAACTAAAACCTGCCGCTCGCATATTTTTCACCTAAATCTATTGATCAGTTTTATACGGTTTGTGTGTTTTCACCAGAGTTCCTTTAATATTTATAGCGGACTGACACAGATTCTTAAAATGCAGTTTATTGTGAATGCGCGTGGCTCTGATGTTGCTGTTTTTATGAAAGGGAGGTTGTTTTTTGTGACAAATAAAAATAATAATAATAATAATAATAATAATAATAATAATAATTTAGCTGCTGTCGATCAATCAGAGAAAAACAATGAACTGGAGACCTGAGTTGAGTCTTGTAATGTGGCAAAAATAAAAGCAATTTTCTAATATTTTTGTCATTTTCAGTCTGAATGTTTTTACGTCATTTAATTTATTTGTGTATTAAGATGTCGAAGCCGGTCCACAGGTGACACTGTAATACAAATATACACATTAACCATCTTAATGTACATCTACTGTAAATAAAATTATAACATTTGACACAATTTAAGTTAAAAAAACACACAAAACTAAATTAAAAATAAGAATTTAAGAGTTTTCTCTGTAGTATTTAACTGGCAGCAGCTTCGCCAGCAGAGTACTTTATGTTTGTTTTTACTGTATTTTATATTTACAGTGTGATACTAGAAATAAAAATACTGTATTCTTATACATTTACAGCAGTTTAAAAAACTAGACCTTAATCAACCTTAAATCTCTGCCTGTTTATTTTTATTTGTTTTGTTCTTTCATACAATTTTTATTTAAAACAGCAGTGTTTATACACACTAATTAAACTAAATGATATAATAAATAATAATTTACTGAATAAACTGTGTAAATGTACAAGAATACAGTAATGAACTGTAATTTTATTTCTAGTAACAATACTTTGCTGGTGAAGTAGGGGGATGCCAACAAAAGTATTGTTTGGGGGGGTGTATTAGTAATTAGTTACACTACTAGTTACTGGGGAAAGTTATATTATTTCTATTAATAAGTTACTGACAAATAACAGACTTTGATAAATGTGAGTTTTCCTTCAAACTGTCAGTTTATTAAATGAAGCGTACGCTGCCATCTACTGGTACAATGAATGTAGTGCAAAATACAATTGTACACCATTAACTTATTTATCTTTAACATCTTAATAAAAGATAAAGAATAATATATTTTAATATGTGTGCGTGGTTAGATGATTCAATAAGTCAGTCTGAGAGAGGGATACAAATATTGACACTTATTTATTTATTATTCATTTTATTTATGTCTAATATAATTTTTTGTATGTATATATTAATAATGTAATAATTATTAATATAGTCCTACTATAAAATCCCTATACATACTCAGTCTATATAGAAATATATATACAATATATATATATATATATTGTATATTTAGAAATATATAAATTGTTTATTTAGAAATAATATAATAATAATTATAATAATAATACATATTATTATAATCATAATTAATAATAATTATTGTAATTATTATTAATTATAATAATAATAATAATAATTAATTATAATAATTATTATTATTACAACAATTATTAATTATAAAAAAAAATATAAAATAATAACATGCTGTATTGGTGCCAACAAAAATAATGTTGTAACTAATAATTTTTTGGGGTGTAACTGTAATATTATTACTGAAATGTATTAGTAACTAGTTACACTACAAGTCACTGGGTAAAGTAATGTTATTAAAAGTAATAAGTTACTTATCCTTATTTATTATAGACTATAAGTGTAATTCCTGGTTCGGCCTGCACTCCAGCTGGGGGCGCTAATGCACCAATAAGCCGGACGACAAACCGCAGTTAAACAAGACGAAGAAGAAACAGAAGCAAGGAAAAAAAAAAAAAAAAAAAACTTTTCCCCGGATCCGCCATTTCAGTGCGCGAGTTTCTTGTTGCACATTAGTTTAGATTTATTTATTTTGTGTCACTTTAAACGCAACAATCTGTCCCACTCTCGGCTTCTTGTGGCGCCACGTAAATCCCGCCAACCGCACCGCCTCGAGACTCCGCCGTTTTTTTTTTTTACCTATTTCTTCCTCGTGTGATTTTGTTTCCAGCGGGGGGACTCGAACCAAAAAGTTGTTTGTATGAGTCGCGGTTAGCGAGAGGCGAAGGGGGAACAGGCCTCAAGCCTCTCGGACGGGATTTTCACGACCCCCCCCCAATGGCGGGTAATTTCGACGCCGAGGACCGCGCTAGCTGGTACTGGGGACGGTTGAGCCGCCAGGACGCCGTCTCCCTCCTCCAGGGGCAGCGGCACGGCGTGTTCCTGGTGCGGGACTCGATCACCAGCCCCGGGGACTACGTGCTGTCCGTGTCGGAGAACTCCAAAGTGTCCCATTATATCATCAACAGCATCAGCAACAACCGGCAGTCGGGCTCAGGTGAGTTACCTGTCCCACACACACACACACACACACACACACACACACACACTCAACGTTGAGCCTCGTTTTGCTGTGATTTTTTTCCAAGCCACGCCAAACCCCCTTTACAAAAGCGTCTTTTTTAAACTTTATTTAACAAATCTGAGAATATGCGTCTGATTTGTGACTTGTTTACACGTTTCCCGTGTGTTTGCGAGGTGCTCTTGAAGTCGGCGGGTATATATTGGGATGATATTCACTCTTTGTGTACAAAACCGGGAACTTTTTTGTCGTTACCGCCCTGTGTAGTGTTAGCTTCGCTCAGCTAGCCGCCTACCTGCTGTGGATCTGAAGTCAGTCTGAAGAGTTTTTTTACTCAAATTATATGTTGGTTGCTTTACAGGGAGCTGAAACTGTTGTATCTTAACACCTGACAATCTTAAATGAGTAGTAATACTGGTGATAATGTGTATTTATTAGTGTAGTTGTTAGTATTAGTGGATTTCCCCTGTGAGGGATCAATAAAAGTCTTATCTTATCTTAAATTATCTTAATTATAATGGTAGTAACTTTATTTATATAGCCCGTTGGTTAAAAGCAGAGTTTACAAAGTGCTTTGACAGACAAAGCAAAAATGATAAATGCTTGAAATAGAGTATAAAAGATGACATTACATGAAGTCTATGAAATGTAGTTTTTAAAAGAAGTCACTGACTCTGCGAAGGGAAGCGGGGGGCAGTAAAATCTTTAAAAACCACATCTTAAAAACAAACACAAGCCAAACGAAAGAAGACAGGAGTGGTCGTCTTTTTAAAACCAGTCAAACTACAAAGAAACTTGCACAAAACGTGTAATTGTGCTACTTTTTAAATGGACTTTGGCGTTTTAGTCAGTCAGACTCGGGGCTCATTTATGAATCTCTCTTCCAGCAGCAGCAGGACGGTGGCCCGGCGGTGGAGAGGTGAGGCTGGGTTGCTGTTGCTGTTGCTGTTGCTGCTCCAGGAGGGATTGAATGGAAGTGGGCAGGCTGGGCTGTCACAACTGGAGGATGACTGGGCCAGATTGGCGTTTCAGGAATGTCTGTGATCCTGCCCCTGTTGCTCATACATAGCCCTGCTCACAGGTCTGCTGCTGTGCTCGCTGCTCTTTGTCCTTTCCAGGCTTCCTTGGCATTGAGTTGTTTTTTTTAAAAAAATCTTCTTAAAGGGTGTTTATAGCAACTGGTCTGACAGAGAAAAGTATGACAGATATTTGAAGTGATAGAGGGCAAATGAGTGGCTGATGTGTAGGAACAGCAGTCATATTATACAGCTAGAAGCAAACAGTGACATTAATATGACTTTTATAGGATATAGAGGCTATAAGTGCAGCTGCCTGTTTAAATCAGGACATCCACTCAAACTGACTCGTATAAAATTGAACTTATTGCCTGAATATGTTCACTAAAATGTCCACTGTTCACACAAACTGATGTGGGCTAATGCCACAAAATGAGATTATTAAGGTATAGATTATGTCTCTTTTAATAAGTCCGCTTATCTTCGGCGGCTGTTGGAAAACGAGCAGTAACGTTTCCTGGCAGGGATCCCCCGACTTACTCTGCCTTTTGCAAAAACGCCATAAAATAAACACAAATAAATAACATGTATCAGATTTAAACTGATGAATATTTGGATTGTTGATGTTCGATTGTCATTTGGCAAATTAAACAGCGCTTTAGGGGTTTTAAAGGAGGTCAAATAAAAGCACATTTCCTGTTTTCATTGTCAACCGTTGTGCGCCGGCTGACCTCACGCCTTCTTCTTCTGAATGGCTCATTCATTATTAGGACATTACTGAGCATTTACCAAGCACTTTAAGCAAAGTGTGAATCACTTTATTGTGATTGTGAATTAGAAAATGTTCGCTCCTGCATCCCCATCAGACCTTAAGTTGAGTGTCACTGCTTTATGGCAATATTGGATTTGCATGAATGTGATGAATTGCCTTGTTTTGTTTTTGTTTTTTCATGCATTTAAATCGCCGGATTATCCCAAACAACACATTCAGGTTATTGTATTTATAGATTGAATCTCCAGGAGATTTACTAGTGTGTGTATACTGATGTAAAATTGTATGTTGGAGCCTCATCGTTCCCTCTCAGGAGAGCGGACGGACAGATCTCAGTACTTTTAGTATCTTCTAACTGAATCTCTGTGGTTGGAAGTTGAGTGTCTGTCCTGTTTTGTTCTGTGTACTCGGGGTATCTGCTTTCATGTTTCAGCTGTATAGGAGTCGTGTTGAGTTACTGCTGATGAAAACCCCACGCGTCCTGGTTTTGCTGCTTCACAATAAAAAGCTTTTTAAATAAACTTTTATTGTGAAGGAATGCCCTATGTCGACTATCGCGGCTCTCTGCCCCTGTTGGACCACGTGTGTATGGAAAAAGGCCATTAATGTGATAGTCTTCCCAAACACAGCCCTCTGTAGGACGTGTTTGGACCTTCCAGTGAACGATTAATCTTCTCGCTCGCTGTGTGAATACAAAGTCGGAGCGAGCTGCTCAGTGCTGCCAGCAGCCTCGTTAATCCGTCCAAAGACATCGGTGTTTGTTAAGTGTTTGATCAGATTGTTTTTCCATCAACAAACTAACTGTGACCCTTTCCTCCGCCAGGTCTGGCTCCTCCTCGGTTTCGGATCGGGGATCAGGAGTTTGAGGCGCTGCCGTCCCTGCTAGAGTTTTACAAGATCCACTACCTGGACACCACCACGCTCATAGAGCCCATAAACAAGGCCAAGAACACGGGGTTCGTCAGCGCCTCTGCCGGCGTCCCGCAGCAGCCCGATGAGGCGGAGTTCGTGCGGGCGCTGTTTGACTTCCCCGGCAACGACGAGGAGGACCTCCCCTTCCGCAAGGGCGACATCCTGCGCGTGCTGGAGAAGCCGGAGGAGCAGTGGTGGAACGCCGCGAACCAGGAGGGCCGAGCCGGGATGATCCCAGTGCCGTACGTGGAGAAGTACCGGCCCGCGTCGCCCACCGCTGCCGGCCTGGGTCCCCCCGTTGCGGGGACTGGACAGGGGGTGCTTGTCGGAGGGGTGGCGGGCAGCACAGACGGAACAGGGGCGGCTCAGGCCACCCCTCCGGTGGACCCAGGCCAGTACGCTCAGCCTGTGGTCAACGCCCATCTCCCGAACCTACAGAACGGGCCTGTCTTTGCCCGAGCCATTCAGAAGAGGGTGCCCAACGCCTACGACAAGACGGCGCTCGCTCTGGAGGTAGCAATCCACCGTTCACCTCTTTTTTTTTTTTTTTTTTTTGCCTGTCGTGTTTTGGCTCTCAGCTGAGGCCGTGTAGATTGTCCCGGTTTTGTTAATGGCTTACTCATGCGTGTGAGCATACACACAAAAGTGTCTTTACAAATGCAAGCTGACAGCGCACATGAAGACTACTCGCGGCGGAGATGGCTCTGTAGAGCGGGACGGACACAGATCCTTTTACTGTGGCCTCTCTTTATGTACACATTGTGGCCCATTGGATTAATGTGAGGCTTACATTGTACATTCATTAGCGCTGGAGCCCAGAGAAACAAGGCGCATTGTTTTTATTTGTTCACTCGGAACGGATAAATAAACAAGTGTTCGGGTTGGTAAATAAAATGCAGATAATGTTGGAGGTTTGAGGACAGTTTTAACGTCCACGTTGTTTACTGCGGAGAGCTCGCTGTCAACGTGCTGATGGTTAATGAGCGTAGCGTGCTACCTCACAGCAGTTTGTCAGGGTTCCCACTCGCTTTCATAGGTTGTTTTTCAGGAGAGAAACGGTCATATAATTTACCAGTATTGACACATTTAACCCCAGTTTAAGTCCTCTATTTTTAATTGCATTAATTTGACCCCAGCCCATGAGTAAAATAATTTATTTAAAAGAGGATGGAGAAAGTAGGGCTGCACCATATGGTAAAAACATCATATTGCTATTATTTTTACAGATGTTGTGATTGCGATATGATTCACGATTATAATTTTCGCATCACAAATTGAACTTTCACCCAAAAAAAACCACTTTAATGTTGTTGTTTTTAGGGGATCTGTAGCAAACAAACATGTTTTCGTACAACTGGAGAACAAGACTGGTAGTCCAGTGAATCTCTGCAGCTCTATTTCATTATAATGTCACAACAACAATTGCTTCTTCCTGTGATTTGCATATCGCAGTTTTGATATTTGGATTAACTGTGCAACCCTAGTAGAAAGGTTTTATGGCCCGTACAATAAACATCGCTGTGCGTGTATTTATCAACCACAACAACCAATATAAATCGGTATTATTATTATTAATGCTCGCTGCTCCAGGATGCCGATGAAGATTAAGATAGTCTGATAAACGTGCTTTGTAGAGTCGTACCGCACAACTCATCCTACAAACATTTGAGTATCAAACGCACCCAGGTTTACGGAGGTGTAAAAATACCAATATCACATTTCTCCAGGACAGTACAGATTATTTACAGGGTATTTCGGCCGTTTTAGTGTATTTTATTTTAATTTCCACGACAGGTTTTGCAGGACGAACCCTGCCTGTGCAGCCAAAGGGCAGCTGGTCATTAGCTGTTGTGTTAATGAAGACACCATAGGAATACTTTCTGTCAACGCCTCCTCCTCCTCCTCCTCCGTCAGTGATACAGTACAGTAGATTCAGAAGCTTCAATAAAACCATTTTACTAGCAGAATAAATGTAATCAGTCCACACCGTCTTCCTTGTGCTTGAGTTTTCAAACTTTCCAACACAGCCAGCTCTTAAAATGCCTCAGCTGTCAGTTGTTGGGGCTCCCGGCGTTCTCTCTGTGCAGCTCCGTTTATTTGAGTCTTCTCAAGAAACACAGGCGCCACCATTTTGTTTGAAATAACAAGAGTGGAAGGCGTGTGTGTGTGTATGTGTGTGTGTGTGTGTGCTTCTGTGTGAGATAAAACAGACTAGATGACATTAAAAGTGTTTACGAACCTCCGCCAGAGTTTAAAATAGGTCACAGTATATTTGTGCAGCCTGCCAAAGTATAGGCCGTCGGTAGGAAACACTGGATTCACGGCACACAATACTCTCACTGTAGATAAGGACCAGCAATTATTCTGTAATTTTCAGCTGCCAGTGTTATTTTGAAATTAAATCCTATTTAAAGTGCATTGTCTGCAGTTTATAACCTGGAATTACAACATCCCCGCGAGCTTCTGGGCGTCTACCTCCACATGTTTTTCTAGTTTCCAGCTAAAGAAACCACCAATACATATAAAATAGGCTAATAATGAGGATTTTTAAGATGTCTAAAATATTATAGCGTTCTCCAAACATCTGAGTTAGCCCCTTTTATCTCCAGTATTGGTTGTTTCCTGCAGTTGGAGAAACAGTTTGATAACCAGAGTGTGAACAGCTAGTGATGGCAAGGAAATGGCTGCTCAATGTGGTGACGCCGTGGTTCAGATTGTTGTACGGCTCTTTAAATACGTGCGTTTCTTGGATTTGTAATGAAAAATGACAAAAGAGAGCAGCAGCAATGAGTCCTAAAACCTGAACCAACAAAACGTGGACGTACTCTATCGCTACCACAACTTCTGTATTGATTGAATATATTCCTGTATATCAGTCAAACTATGGTTTATAGAACATGAGACAGATAATGTGTGAAAAAATTCTTCCTCGGGCTCGTCCTAGTGCCCCGAGTGGCATTTGCAAGAATCCACCAGGGCCCGAATGAAAACAACCAATCAGAGCCGAGAAAGAGAGTTGATTGTTGAGTCTCATTCCTAATGTGTCAAATGCTGGAAATGAAACTCAACATATATATATATATATATATATATATATATATATATATATATATATATATAATATATATTCAAGCGTCCAACCCGGAGTGTCTTTTCTATGTTTCTCCGCTCTGATTGGTTGTTTCCATTCGGGGCCCTGGTGGATTCTTGTGAATGCCACTCGGGGCACTAGGACGAGCCCGAGGAACCTGATTTTTTTTCACACATTATCTGTCTCATGTTCTACCGTCAGGATGTAGTGAAAGGTTCAGCAAATGTGGCAAAAATACCTACTGCAGCTTTAAATCGGAGCGGCCAGAGAAAGTGTTTTTGTTTGTATTTATCTTTTTTTTGTTTGTCCTTCGACAGGTGGGAGACATGGTAAAAGTGACCAAGATCAACGTGAACGGCCAGTGGGAGGGCGAGTGCAAGGGCAAACGAGGCCACTTTCCCTTCACCCACGTTCGACTGTTGGAACAGCACAATCCCGACGACGAGAGCTGAGGAACGCACGCTCTCTCTCTCCCTCCCTCCCTCCCGCCGCCTTTCCGACAGCGTCCGGCACAAAACCCTTCTCCTCCTTCGTCACGCTCGGAAAAGAAAAAGATTTCTACAAGCACACAGTATATGAACCTATGAGCTGCGCCGGTCAGGCACCCCTGACCCTGCCAATGCAAGACGTGTCGGGTGATCTTACCTAATGTCATTTTGAAGAGTTTACAAGGTCAGACTGATATCGGTTCGCCTATATTAGCTTATTTTTTAAAAGGATTACACACTGCTGCTGTCGCTCCTCGCCTACAGCCTCATAAAGAAAAAAGCATTAAATATTTCTTGTATTCAGATAGATAGCAGCGTTTAATATTTATTAATGTTAAAGGAACAGTCCTGTGTGTTGTCTTATCCACAATCACATAGGAAGGTTTATTGTTACAGAGATGAGTGTGTTTAGCCTAGCTTAGCTTAGCTCCACAAACTGAAAGCAGGGGGAAGCAGTTAGCCTACTGGAAGAAACTCCGAAGCGGTTTTATTTCCTTCTTGTGCTGAACGGGTGTAGAAATGAGACACTATTTAAGGGTGCGTTCACAACGTGTTTGGTTCAAACAAACTCTGGCGCGTTTACTCGTTTTGGGTTCGGTTCATTTTGGCTGACGTGGAAGCTGTTAATTGATCAATTGATTGATTTGAAAAGTAGGATTTCAGTTTCCAAACCAACTCAAAAGGATTTTTTGTGAAAGTTGATGTGATTTTTGTTTTTATGAATTCAAAAGATAGACTACTCTTACATCCATCTGCTGACCGGGAACCGATGAGATGAATAAAATCTCCTAAGTGATTTACACACACTATAATTACGCAGGATGATCTGGTAACCATGGTAACGCGTGCGTTTGGGGATCAGAGGTGCTTGTGTCTCACTCTGTATTTTATCAGTTCCTCATTTAAAAAGAGGAGAAACGGTAAATATCCTCCTCTAATGATACGACACGCCTCTTTCATCATCCTGTTTCTACACATTAGGCATTATCTCTTTAACTCTTCTGGTTTAAGTTGCAGTCTTGACCAAGTGATGCTTGTAGCCATTCATAAGCTGCATGACTTGCAGTTAGTCACTGATGATGCACTGACAGTGAGTCAGCTAAACTGTCTGATCAATGAGTCACCTGCAGGGTGGCAAATCCGCATCAGAGAGTGGCTGCTTGGTTTCAGACACTAAATAATGATTTACTGGGGAGTGGCTGGTGAATTTGAACCGTTTATCCGTCTGCTGCTGGCGTTCCCCGTCCCGGTCGCCTGTCGGTCCGTATCATTTAATGTGGACAGCTGGGAAACCACCGCCCAAAGATCCTTTTAATTCTTTGCCGTCGAATGAACCAAACTACTACGCAGTAAAACGTCTGAGCTGTTTCGTGATCAATAGAAGCTACTAATCCTAAAATGATTCAATCAGGGGTTTTGAACGACTTCTGGGAGACGTTCAGTGGGAAGAAGGAGTGAAAATTGTTGGCAAAATGTCACTTTTTGATCCAGAACCGAGCAGCGTCAGGCGACAGTAACCGATATCAGTCGATCCCTAGTTTACACACCTCCAGCACAGTATTTGAAGTCTGCACATACACAGCAGAGTGGAGCTACTCTTCCATCCTGTGGTGTCTGTCTGTCTGTGCGTCCCCACCCACTACATCTCATTCATACGCAGAGGGGGAAACAGGGAAAAAAAATCGAATTGCACACAGGAGACAAAACACTCTCACAGAATCATGAATCAGTGAGTTTTTGTAGTGCTAGACTGTGAAACCTCGGACTTTATCCCCCCCCCACCCAGGACGGTCCTCCTTCGCCAAGACGACGTCACCAACTTATTACATCCCTCACTACAGACCAAGTCCTTTTTCTTTTTGTACTAAAAGTGGAAAATATTATGATAGAATTGACTATATACACACACCTTACATGCTAAAATACTGTAAACATGTTTTTCCTTCCTTTATATTTGAGTTACTTTTTTCTACCAGAGACTGTACACCTATTATTATTATTATTATTATTATTATTATTATTATTATTATTATTTTATGCTCCTCTTTTAAAACACTATTCAGCGCCAACATGGATGACTTCACAGAACAAAATAAGCACCCTTTCATGGAGGAAGGAAAGATTCCCTTGAGGCTGTTGTTTAGAAGATGACAGGAGAAAGGTTGAGGGATTTTATTTTTGTCTTCCAGCTGGCTCTAACATTCGGAGAGATGCTCGTCGGATAAACATCCACCCTAAAACACTAATTCCATTTGCATCTTTTACGTACAAAAAGACACTTTATGCCGTGCCGGTCGTTATCTGTGGGTTTTTTTATATTGTTTCTCATCCTCATTGAATGCACATGCTGTTATTACACATAAAGCTTTTTATAAACACACATGGGCCCACTGAGCATTATGTCACTGAATATAAACCATAAAAAAGGTCTGTTGCTGTAGGAATTTTAGCTAAATGGCGATGCACCCTTTGACCTTTTGGCTCAAAAGCAGGCAGATCACAAACATTGCCCCCCCCCCGTTATAACACAGTGAACACTAATTAGGCGGCTTGCAGGGGGTTGTAAAGTGCAGTAAACGCCGATGAGACGGATGTAACGCTGTTCAGTCCCTCCAGGAAGTTGTGATTTTGCACAGAAATCTGCACGACTTTGCAATTTCATCTCAACTTTTCCTGCAAATCTGACCAATCAACGTAGCAGTGCCCAACGTTGAGCTATATGTCCGAAAACTACTAGCGACTAGCACATATTGTTGCCTAAAAACGAGGAAAAACTGATGTGAAATCAGGCATTTTTAGGCTGCAACAACCTCCAAGAAAAAAGGCTGCAAAATCCTGCAGGGATTGACAGTTGCCGGTGACAATAACACGTGTATTTTAAAGGTCCAGTGTGTCGGGTTTTAGTGGCATTTAGCGGTAGTGGTCGACCAATACGCCGATGTTTAGAAAGCAGGGCTGCAAACAGCCGGAATAAAAACAAAGAAAAGTCTTGTATAATTCAGTTCTATAAGAAATTTAGGTAAATGTTCAGGACTCAAAACCAACTTTTTCACCACCTTCCCAGATAAATGAATCAGTCTATCTCTATCTGGCAGTATTTGTTACTATCTAGGAACCAACTTGGTGGCTGACAATGATTATACACTAATGAAAACATCGTTGTTCTGCTGTTAGATCCTGCTAAATGTTACACACTGGGCCTTTTTACGACATAAAAATATGGTCTTATTACTCATGTAGCTAATTAAGATGAACTACAATGGATGCTTCTGTCAGTCGCTGGGGGGGGGTAACCCTAACCCTAACCCTGCAGAGTTACATCGTCTCTACCTCAGCCTCGATCAATCAGTCACTAAATGTGTGTTTTGATACTTTAAAAAAATGAATTGAACTCACATGAATACCTTTTTTTTGTGCTTTCCAATACAAGTTCAACTGGGGTCAGATGTATAAACGATTCATTAATATCATTAATAGTTCACTTCGCACAGTATTTATAATATTTATGATAAAGACTTAAGCGGGAGGAGGTCTCGCACATGCATGGAAACAGCGTATGGATGGTTTGTGTGATTGTGAAGCAGAAATAGGAGAATAATCTATTATAGATTTAAAAAAAGTCACATTTATAATTCCTTTGGTGTCTTCTGAGTGCTTTAAATGATCCCAGCTGTGTGTCCTTATACAAAATACGACTAATATTTGGTGAAATTGAACTATACTGCTGCTCTTTTAAGTGCCATGGAGCAAAATAAATGAGTGCAGATGCAAATTTCTGCAACATTTATCTCAAACCTGCACAGAATGTTTATGCATCTGATCCCTGTTACCCTGAAATGTCGTCTTGAGTTTACGATGTGTCTTTATACATTATAAAATGTTTCCCTCCATTTGTTTTCTTATTGAGACTCAAATTTAAGGAAATCTTTTTTTTTTTTTTCTGTATGCCTTATTAATGCCATATTTTTATTACCGTGATTATGTTTATTAAGAGTCATATACAGCCCTGTGTATATATATATATTAATAAACACATGCAATATTTCTAAGCCCCCATATTCCACGTTTTCTTTGTTAAGGTGAAATATTCGAGCCCAGAAAAACTATAAAAATAGAGCTCATGTGGCAGTTAATGTTATATAATATGTCACCTACCTGTGTTCATGCTGTAGGCGACCAATTAACACTAAATGGCTGCTGGTTGCAGTCCAATAGTTATAAAAGTGTGCTGCTGCAAATGTGTTTTTGCTTTTAAATAAACTAAAATAAGACGTAGATGAACCCAAATGTCACATATTAGGACGTTTAAATGATCTATTGTTTAATTTGTAAACACAGAAACATAAACTGAAGATGCAAAATGTGTTAAATTAAATTTATTTCCACATGTTTTTAATTAATTGGATCAAAATGTTGCCACATTCCCCTTTTTTTTTAATGGTTTCACAGACTGGACTGTCCTTTCTGTAGTGGTACCACTTCATTTTTAAAGTTGAATCCTGTATGTTTGTTGTTGCCTTTAATGCAGAGTGTTAATCGGGTATTTGCATTCAGATGCACGGCACTGAACTCGCCTTTAGAGAGAAAACACTCTCATTTCACTGTCAGGACATTATTGTAAGTTAGTCAGTTAGTTGGAGAGCAATGAATACTTTAAAAACAAACACCACTGATGATCCAACAATGTGCACCTTATCTCCTCTACAGCTCCACAAAGAGAAACACGTCTCTTCATGCCAAATAACGTTCTTTTAGTTGTTGTTGTTGTTGTTTTCCTTTTGCAATGATCACATATTTTTGCTTTTGTGCCACGTCAGCCTGACTTTGAAGAGGACCAGAACAAGCAAAAGTAGGATTTTTGTTTTAAAGAGATTGTACGATATGTTAAAACATGTTATGAAAATATATTATTTGAAGTTAAATTTTACTTTTTTTTTTTTGGTAGCATGTAATGTGTTAATATACCTAGTCAATAAAAATGTACCAAATGGTCAGTTTGGGCTTTACGTGACTGTCTCTAATCTCTGTGAAGTTATTATTATTTAATTAAATTGCTGCTTACGTACAATACAGAGCATTTTGCCTCCTGAACTCCCAGAACAGATTCGTGGTCTCGTGATCCGGCAAACCATTACAACAGAGACTTGTCATCTACATTTTAATACTCACTAAAAGGTGGAAAATATTGACCTTTTTAAGTATAAAATTACATTAAACTGTTAAATATTTCAAAATAAAATTGTTGTTTTGGTACAGACCCCAAAAAATGTCACATTAGGATGATTTTAGTAGTTTTTTTTGAGTGAAAATCGTAATATATTTTAAACTCCACTACTTTGGTTACCCAAACTGTTAAGATTAGGTAAATTAAGTACAAAATTAAATCTTTAACACCCAATAATGCAGTAATGTGTCATCAGCAACCTGCACAGTTTACTCTACCAGTGTTTGATGCTTTAGACTAATTAGAGCTGCAAATATTAGTCGATTCATCAATTAGTTGTTAACCAATTAATTAATTGACAGATATTTGGATAATGTTATTTTTAAGGGGAAAAAATGTAAAACTATCCTGATTTCAGATTCTCCAAAGTGAATATTTTCGGGTTTCTTTAGTCCTCTATGCTGAATATTTTTGGGGTTGAGGACAAAATACATTTAAGGACATCTGCTTGGGCTAAAATAAAATATATTTATCAATTTTCTGGACCAAACAAGTAATCGATTAATCAAGAAATTGATCAAAAGATTATAATGAATAATGAAAATAATTGTTCCAACTAAATTTAAGAGCAAGAAAGAGGAAATTAATTATTTTAGACATATTTTTGCAAACTGATGTAGCATTAATTTGGTAATTTAACATTATAGTTGTGTGACAATGAGCCAAAAACAAGGCAAAAACATTAAAATAAATTATTATTTGTGCTTTATATGTGGGCCGTATGGAAGAGTTAGTACAACTGAATAAAAATATATAAATATCTGAGATGTTACACTTATTAAAAGTCGCCTTAAACTGAATTTGCCGGTATTTTGAATTGGGTTTGGTGGGGCAAGCTTATTTCGGGACATGAGGGTGTATAGCATGATGAAGAAGACGTGGGTTTCCCGGATGGAGCAGCGACGCCATCTTTACGCCAGTTGCCACCGGTGGGTCTTCGGTCCAGCGGAGCGGCAGTGCTGTTGCTGATCCACCACCAGGAATCGCCGAGCAGCCGTTAATCCCTTCCTTTCCACCGGGACGCCGCGAACAGTCCCAACCACCCCGAGCACCATGGCAGACAGAGAGAACCTAGTATACCAGGCGAAACTCGCCGAACAAGCGGAGAGATATGACGGTAAGTCTCCGAATAAGTAACAGCCATAGCAGAACGCCTGGCCGCTCTCCCCCTCCTCCCTCCTTCCCTCCCCCCTCCTCTCTCCCTGTCTCCCTGCGCAGGGGGCTTTTGGAGACGCAGGTATAAAAAAAAAAAAAAAAAAAAAAGCAGTTCACATGGATTTGTTAGGCGAGAGAGACAAAATGGCGGCGCTTTCTCCGGCGGACAAACGGTTTTCGAACGTTCGGCTAAATTAACGGATTTCGGCTCAAATGGAACGCGCGTGCTTCGCCGCGTGCCCCCCCCCCCCCGTTTGCGTTAAATGAGCCGCTGCGCTAAGCTAAGCTAAGCTAGCCCCCACCGCTAACACTGTGCTAACTTAGCTGGCTAGCCTTTCTTTAGCCCCGTCACGCCAAACTCCAGCCACAAAAAAAAAAAAAAAGGGGGAGAAAAGATTTTAAATAAATAAATAAATAACAGCAAACGTCCACACCCCACTCAGACAAAAGACTCCACAGTGTGTGTTAGTGTAATCGGGATGTGTTTGGTGTAACAAGAGGCTTCAGTTGAGAAATATATCCCCAAATAAATGAGCTACATTTAATGCTAACGTACCGCCCATGGATTATTAGTTATTATTATTATTATTATTATTATTAACAATAAAGCCAGTGGTAAACTTGTTTGTGATTCTGGATGTAGTGCTCGGTGACACTACTTTTTTTATTCATTTATTTATTTTTTAAACAATTACTTTAAAGCTGCAGTTTATAAAAAAATAACTTTTTGTCCTATTTGCTAGAACTTTAACTTTATCCTGATAGACGCTCACGAGACGGATAATCTGTGAAAAAATCAGGTTCCTCGGGTTTGTGCGAATCCACCGGGCCCCGAATGAAAACAACCAATCGGAGCCGAGAAAGATCAAGTTGATTGTTGAGTCGAACTCCAAGGTTGTCAAATATTGAGGCTGAGAATCAATAATCAACCTAAATAAGCAACCTAAAAGCGTCTTAACATCTTTCTCGGCTCCGATTTTTCATTCGGGGACCTGGTGGATTCTTACAAATGCGATTAGGGGCACTAGAACAAGCCAGAGGAACCTGATTTTTTCACAGATTATTCGTCTCATGTTCTACTGTCAGGATATAATGAAAGTTTCAGTAAATATATAAAAAAAAAAATCTCAAAAAAATGACCACCTGCAGCTTTAATGTCTTTTTAATTAGTTTTTTTACCAGGTGAAGTTGATGTTAAATATGCAGAGGCTTGTGCATTTGTTATAATAACTAGGCTGACATTGTATCTGCTGCTCTGAGGCCGGTATCGCCCTGTGGCTGTGTGGTGGGCTGGGTCAGTTGATGGATGGATGGGATGTTGCAGCACCGAGTGGGCGGGGCAGTTCGGTGCCGCGGCCCGCGTGATTGGTGGTTAGAACAACACTGTTGGCCCAAAAGTTTGAGTTCAGCTCGAGCCAACTTTTTCTTTTCAGTCGATTTGAGTGGATGTCTTCTCACCAAAGCGACGTTTATTGAGCCGTCGATGAGTAAATGTGCAGTGTAGTTGGGTGAAGTGATACAATTAATGGATATTTCACATTATATTCAGTGTATAACAATAACAGTACAGTGCCAGTGCAGGACGTTTGTATGAAACAAGGGAGTTATTTTATATTTTTAGGAACATTTTATACAATTTTGTCTGTTTTTCTATGTTTCATACAGACTTAATATTATTTTTTTTAATACAAATTCTGTGTTTTCTTATTGTTCTATTAGATCTTTGGTTGTTTTAACTACTTTTCTCATGCAAAGACTTTTTTTTCTCATAGAAACAAATAAATGTTTGGTTTTTTTGCACGTAATCATTTAGTTTTGTGTGATTTTTGTGAATAAAATGATTAAAAACTAGAGATGCCAATTAGATAATCAATAATTTAGCATTTTTGTATTTTAAAAATATAATTTATAACCTGTAGTTTACCTTTAGCACTGCTGAGGGTTGGAAGGGCTGAGATGTAGTGAGCAAAGAGTGTTTTCTAGTGTAGTTAATTTAAAGAAATGCCCTTTTTTCTATCACTGAGTAAACTGATGAGTGTGTGACTTATTTGATGGATATTTAATCTTATATTTAAACCATAACAGTACAGTGAACACTAAGTGCAGGAAGTTTGTGTAGAATAAGGGATTTTTGATTAATTATTTCCTCTGAGCATCAGAGATGAGTTTTCCTGATGTTATTAGAAACTTTTTATACAATTATCTGTCTGTATTATGTATTTCTATATAGTCTTAATAGGCTTATTTTTTTAACAAATTCAGTGTTTTCTTCCCCCCGACTCTTATGATTTGATTAACTCTTTGTTGTTTTAACTACGTACTTTTCTAATAAACTAAACTTTAAAAATACACAACTTAAAACCAAAAAGGCTCATGGGTATTGTAGTTTTTGTCTGTTGTCTGCCAACCTGTACAATTGTTACTAGAAACCTGGGAGGCTCCTTGTTTCTATGTTCAGTAATGCAGAAGACATCGTTTAAAGAAACATTTAAATGAACACAGAATAGAGGAAAAGACTTAAACTCTATTGAAGCTCAGTTTGTGTCACCAAGGTCAAAGGTCAGCAGCCTTTCAAAAGAGAATTTCTTTACCTGTCTGGAGCATATTTGAGCCTTATAATGCTAATTTATTGCCACATATTAAGTATAAGCTTTTAGCATTGGTGGTGAAAGCAAACAAATCTGTAAACGCGCTATTAAAATCTCTATTTTCCTCTGAAACGTTTCCTTTTTTGGGATTTGTAGTCCATAGCTTGATCAGCCCAGAAGACTAGTAGCCACCGCTATCGATGTCCGGCTGTAACGTATGACACACAGTTTTATTCGGTGTGTAATGGGTGTATATTTATACAGTTAGAGGGTGTAAGAGTCACATTAAAATGTTTAAAAATAGCCTTTTTTGATCATTTTTTTTTTCTAAATTAAAGCCACAGGGAGCCACTGGAGATCGGCTCAGCTTGTAATGCTGAGAAAATGTTTAAAAAAGCTCAGAGAGGTCACTCAGTTTATTTGAGTGCAGGCCGGGCTGGAGGGTAAAGTGATCAAAGCAGCATAGTGCTCCTCCTGGCTCCCAACCATCGTGTATCGGGTTTCTCCAGCCTGCTGCTCGGAGCCCTCGCTATTGGGCTTCAGCAGATAACGCCGTGTCTGTGGACGTTAAAAGCTAAATGATTGACACATTACGCTCACCTCCAGGCCAGCACGGGAGAGGTGTGACTGCGAGCGAAATATATGTTCTTATATCATCCGAAATTACTCATGAAAATTCATTTAGGTGTTTATATTCCTGCAGTTCCTCCTTCAAGAGCTTCTTTATTAGATTGAAGAGCCCCCACATTGTGTCTGTTTTGTGTTGAATCCCCAGGGAAACAGCTCGTTGTGCTGATTAGTAGCTCCTTCAAAAGCACGAGTGTCAAATTGCTTTCATTGGCATTTCATCCCTGGATTGTATATTCATGTGTGTGTCCCCCCCCGAATCACCTTGAAGATGTGAAATGTAAAGAGACACCACAGCGGATCCAGCCCCGCCCTCGGGTTCGCTGTCCTGGCTCGGGTCCCGCAGTAGGTGTCCGTAGGTGGTGGTGAATCTCTGCATTAGAGGAGTTTTGTACTCGGGCAGCGTCCCAGGCGCTCCATTAATAAAATACTGAGGACGACAGAAACCTTTCAAGAGTGGGCACTGCGGTCGACACTCTTTGTTTAATGGAAGGAGGATGTGCTTATCTTCAATTAAGAAAATCAATGTGTGTACCTCCCCAAAATGTTAATTATTATAATGCAAATTACAAAAACATATTTTTTTTACTTTATACTCTAGTGTTATTGAGCCGTGCAGATTGTTTTGGGTTAATTTATGTCTCTAAAATATATAGTGAATGGGTTTTTGTTAAACTGAAGCGCTGCAACATTTCTTATTTGTAAAGTTTTGTTTTATTAACTGATAACAATGTGATTTCTATGGCTGTCCCTAAACTAAAGAGTGTCCTTGTTGACTAACAGTCGTAAGATAAAGCCAATAGTCGATTAGTCAGTCAGTTAAGTTATTTAAATATATATATTTTAACAGCCGCCTGTTAAATGCTAACAGAAAAAGCAGTAATGATTCTGAATGTGTCTGAACAACCAACAAGGAGACTGAACATTTAATTTATTTCAACACAGTTTAACATCACACAAGTCTCGTTTAAAACACGGAATAAATAACTTCTACTAATACTGGCAGATTGATCACTATGATGGATAACGTTAATAGTTACGTACAAATTATCTCTACGAACTCTTCCTCCGTTTCATTCCTCTCCTGACGCTGCCTGAACCCGCCGTGTCTTCATCCCCAGAGTCAGAGTCCTGGTTGGAGCCGCTGTAGTTCAGTTTGCCTCCATTGCTCCGGTTCTGTTGCACCGCTGTAGTCCGTATTCCCCACTCGGTTCCCCCGCTCCTCCGCTTGTAGCTCCTGCTCCCAGTCCGGGTACAGTCAGCTAATAGGACCCCTAACTAGTTAGTGGCAGCAGCTAGTTAGCGGTCAGTAAAACCGATACAATGGAGAGTTAAAGCCACCCGTCGAGCGTCTGCTCTTTGCTTGGGCTGGATTCAAAGGTAGTTTAAAGGTACATTAGGTCAGGGGTAAAGAATGGTGTCACCTGTCAGTGGGCTCAGCAAATTTATGACGGCACAGCCTGATCCCTACGAGGGCCTGATGATAGGTCAAAACGTCATTTAACACTAGTACTGGACTGCCATAGGAACGCTCACCCGACGTTTGACACATTTCCACCATGTGTATTGATAAATGTACTGTACTGGGGTTAAAAATAAACGTGTCGGTACGCTCTGGAAGAGGTCTTCACAGGTACGATGTTTTAGTGTTAATGAACCTGACTAGATAGATTCATTTCATATAATGACAGAAGGACAGTCAGACCTGACCAATTATATATATTTATATATAGAGCGAGGAACAGAGAAAGCATTTATTTTGTGCAGTTTCTTTTTACATATTGGCAGACCTGTTTGCTAGTATCAATATATCTGTGATAAGCTAAAAAGGCTAATTATAACAGACATATCTAGGCTCTAAATGCAAGGACTTACCCCCAAATTCTCCCGGGGACGACCACGATGCGTTCTAGGTCCACCATGGTTGCTGGAAATGTTCGATATTCCCCCGGAAGCGAGTCCCAGAAACGACATAGAGAATCCAGTCAATTTTCAAAATAAAATACTACGTGCAGTCTCAAATTTTATGCTAGATCATCATTGTGGCACCAGGCCAGAAATCAGTCAGTCAGAGGCAGGTTAGAGGAGCTTCAAACAGGAGAAACACACAGTTTTGTGTCCTTTTTTAAAGACAAAATACACAAGTAAACAGCGTGGGACAGGCAACACGCTCTGAAGACTCTGCTTCTGAAACATTCTCAGTAGGATTTAAAGATATGCGGATCACGGAGAGAAACTGTGCTGCAGACACAACGTTATAGAGCTGTACCCGGGGAAATTCTGCCTCTGGTAAAACCTAGTAAAGGGCAGTAGATAGTAGGACATAGGACGACACTTCCTAAGCCCCTAAGAAAGGAGAAAGTCCTTTCTTAGGGGGTCTTTCTTGGTCACTTAGTTCTCACCACAGTTTTCAGGCCTTGAGAAACCCACGCCCCTCATGCCGTTTGTTTCCCTGTGTCTTTCAGAAATGGTGGAGTCGATGAAGAAGGTGGCCAGTATGGACGTAGAGCTGACGGTGGAGGAGAGGAACCTGCTCTCAGTAGCATATAAGAACGTGATCGGAGCCAGAAGAGCTTCCTGGAGGATAATCAGCAGCCTCGAACAGAAAGAAGAAAACAAAGGCGGAGAAGACAAATTAAAGATGATCCGAGAATACAGGAAAACGGTCAGACACTGTTGTTAAACCCTGCTGGGTACTTTGATTGTAAGCGGTGTGAGAGTGTATCTTTATAGGTTTCTCAGCTACGAGGTTTTAAACAAGAAAATACAGGTATTTATGCAACATTTCGACAAGTTTCTGTCGTCTAAATGAACCTGTAAGCATTGTTTTTGAGATGTTTATTCCTTCTTTTGTGAAAAGTTGCACCTAAAGAGTTCTGAATTGCAGCATTCTGCCCATTTTAAGTATTATTGGTGAAACAAAATGACACAGGCTGCAGTCCCTCTGTGCTAATGTCTGCAACAGACTCCAGCAAAACATTAACAGTCTTCTGTGAACCTGTGAAGCAATACGCTGACTTGCTTTCACTTAGCTTTGGTGGGAAGTCGGAGCAAAGTTATTCACTGTTAGTCCTGTTGCAGTCACAGATTCTCTTCCATTAGTTCATAGAGCAAATATAACTGGCTTTTAATGCTCACAAAGTCCTGAATTGGACACAGTAATGACAATACAAACCCAGTGGACTGAACTGGTTTTGAAGTGTAGCTGGCGCACACTCAGGTAATCTGATTTCCATATCCAGCAGGCAATATGCCAGAGATGCTTTCCCCTCCTTAGGTGAGCTCTCCTCCACCGGCCTCTCCACTTGGAGAGGAAACGGTGTGATTTCACCGCTCAACGACACTCGTCTGAGCGCAATAACGAGGTAGGCTGCACCCATGAATCCACTTTTTTTGAGTGCAACGCAGCAGCAACCCTCCAGTCAGTTAGTGAGCGGGGGAAAAACAGATTTTATGACTGTGTAGGATAATTTCACCCACACTCCCAATGTGTGAACATTTATTTTTGTCAGTTAACTCACACCTCACGATGGCATCATTGCTGAGACTTTCTGCTCGCATCTGGTTGGTACTTCAAGACTTATCCGATATGGGACTGAAATTAAAATGCCAAAACTGTGGGAATTAGAGACTGTTATATTTTCCTCTATATGGTGCATTTCTTTAGTTGTGGAGGTGTTAAACTGCTTAGTTAAAAGTGTACTCTGAAGAACTCTGTACAGGACTTTTTACTTAATCCTGCTCCCGCCCACTAACGGTGGATTTCCTTCCATTACCACCCTCTCCCGGTGTGTGTGTTTGTCCACTCCCTCACTATTCACTCCCCCGCACAATAGAGAATACCTGTCATCTCCTGTCCCGCAGGTGAAAAAGATGGTATCTTACTGTGTCAGTAACAACTGAGAAACGTCTCCAAATGCCAGACTCGCCTTGCTCTGCTGCCGCTTTAATCTTCCTCTCAACTTCGTTTGTTGACTCTGTCTCCATCCTTCTGGTGGGTGCAAGATAAATCCCGGGTGGGTTTCGGGCCTCTTTTATTAACTAATAGTACTTCCAAAAATCACTCGCTGCTAACTTAAACCGGGTGGATTCGGCATCCAAAGAAAAAGCTGTTTTATGTGCCGCCGTATAGTGATGTTTAAACATGTGAGTTCAAGGGGTCGGTGTCGGCCAGTCAAACAATACCCAGCCGGCTTCCTCTGTGACAAACGCTTCCACTGGGGACTGCCCCGAAAGCTGCCCCGTTCGCCTCTGCTCACATTTTAACAATTGTTGGTGTGTTGGTCGGCAGATTGTTGGAGGATTTGTATTTGTCACTCAGGGTTCCCACGCGTCCTGGAAAACATGGGACGTTAGAGACTAGATTCTTGATCTTGGAAACACCTCAAACAAAGATTAAAATGACCAAATATCCTTGAAGTAATCTGTAAATCGTCATATCACTGCAGTTTAATCATGAACCCTGTATTGCAAGATAGAATAAAACTGGGGTTAAATGTGTCGGTACTCGTGTCTGCTGCAGCCAGTAAATTATGTAACTGTTTCTGAGCAAGTGCTGTCCTGGATTGTCAAGGAAAAACTCCTGGAAAGTATCCGGGATAATGCTTTCTTAAAAAGAGTAAGAACCCTCGAGGTCACAACTCCTAGACGTGAATTTGTTTATAATGTTTGTTTAGTTCTATAGAGTTTATTAGACGCTGATGTAAGGTTTGTTTGTGTGTGGTTGCTCAGACGTCTGACAGCAGTGTTTGTGTCTGCAGGTTGAGAAAGAGCTGAAATCAATCTGCAACGACATTCTGGATGTACTGGACAAGCACCTCATCTTAGCTGCAGTCGCGGGAGAATCTAAGGTTTTCTACTACAAAATGTACGTATCCAACAGTGTGTATCTACTCCAGCGTTAACCTCACCCTGACGTAGGCTGGCATCATCGTGATTTCATAGATTACTCTCCTGGGATGGCAAATAAAATGGGTTTTGTGTTTAATCATAATGCAGATTGCTGCGCACATACTTTATAAAGCTGAGAGCGTTCACCCTGTCTCACCTCTCTCCAGTGCACAAGTGTCCTGGTGGTTAATTATGTATCATGTGTCTATCTGAGCTACTTCCTGTTAGATTTACAGCGCAGCCGATCCCTAGTCAATCCCTAACCGGGTAATTACATATTCTTCTCTGCTGAGCAACCTGGCTGTTGAATATTAAATAAAAAGCACAGTTGCTGGGTGGATTTTAATATTTAAACTTTGAAAGGATCTCACAGGATAAGAAGACACAACTAATAGAACAATGAGAATAAAACACTGAATTTGTAAAAAAAAAAAAAAAAAAGAAGGGTGTTAATTATGTATGATTGTTAAAAATAAAGAGGATGCACAATACAGACAGAGAATTGTGTAAAAAGTTGCTAAAAATATCATGAAAACTCATTTCTGATCAATATTTGCTGGAAATAATCTGCTCAGAATTCATTCAAATCTCTGAAATCCTGCAGTTGTTATGTTCACTGTTTGGATTCGTTGTACAGTGTATCAGTAGTTTTCTTCTGTTGTTGTTACACATTTAATATAACATGAAATATCCTTAAAATATGTCCCTTAGTCAGTTATATTAAAGGGAAAAGGTTGGGAACTGCTGCTTTTATTGAGCTATTTTACCAAAGGTCAAAAAAGTCTTCATTCATTTTCACCACAGTTTTATATTCTGGTGGGAATTCACAATATTCCACATTACTTAGAGAAACCTGGAGCCTCGTCCTCTTTTTAAATGTTCCAGGAAATGATCTGTGGAGTTTAAATCTTGCAGGCCAGCAGCACTCTTTGTTCTTCCTCGCCTTTAAAGTAGGCCTGTCAGGACTCAGATGCATTTAGAGGCTCATTGTCCTCCTGGAAAATTTATCTCTACCACACAGCTTGAAGCCACAAAAGATATCATGCCTGTGCAAGAAACCTCTACTACCTCTACTAACTAAATAAATAAACAGATGATTCGTAAAGGTGGAACAGCGTCACACAAGAGTATTTTAGCCATAATTTACTTTAAAAGTTGCTGTACTCTCTCAGTTAGGCTGGTGTTAATGCATCTGTCAGGTGGTTTGTCTGGACTCTGTTGTTACAAGCAGCTATGTGTCTTGACTGTGCTGTTTTCTCTGCTCAGGAAGGGAGATTACCACAGGTACCTGGCAGAGTTTGCCACAGGCAACGACAGGAAGGAGGCGGCAGAGAACAGTTTGGTTGCGTACAAAGCTGCTAGCGACATCGCCTTGATCGAACTCCCTCCAACGCACCCCATTCGTCTGGGATTGGCCCTTAACTTTTCAGTTTTCTATTATGAAATCCTCAACTCGCCGGACCGCGCTTGCAGGTGGGTCATTTTGTGTCGTCTGTTTAACCGGATTTTAAAAGGATTTTATTATTTGTGATTGTTTTAAACTCTTATTCCATAACCATTGAGCTTTTTAGCCTCCTTGTTTTGGCTTTGTAGCCCACATATTTACTGTCATCAATACCTGTTTTAAGCTCTGATGAAGCTACTGTACTATGGATGGGACAATATGTGATATATAGTGATATATAGTCACTTAAAAAAGCTGTGTAGCTCACTAATGTACAGCCCAATGTTGATTTCCTGGTTTATTCTTGAATCGCAGCATCTTGCCCGTCATTTCAAAATCTTAAATCCGTCTAAAGAATGACAAATAAAAATGTGTTTAACAAAATGTAAGGTAAAGTGATTCCAATGCATTTTTTTTACTGCTTTTTTTTAAAAGGGTTTTAATCATTTTTTTTCTGATTATTGTGATAATATCATGAATCATAACCTCATATCTACACTGTACGCTTCAAACAGCAGAGAGAAAAAGTCAACCAGTGGCAGGGGAACATAGTAAAGCACCAAAAAGACAAATAAATTCCACTGTTGTGGACTGAACTACAGCTAAAAGGAGGAAGAATTTATGTTTTTTCAGCCAAAAATTCATCCTCTAATTCACCTTTTTCCTGTGCATAAGGAAAAGTCCTGTGCAGCCATTTACGTCCAGTTTGGTAAATTACATCCACATGATTTTTAAAGAGTTTTCCCTTTCGATATGGCTCAAATGCCACATGAAAAGAAACTGTGCGCTCCAGCTGTTGGAGCTAAGGAGGCTCCAGGATGTTGGCTAAATGATTCTCAGGAATCTGGCAACTTAAAAAAAAAAAAAACAGTCCTGAAAGGGAACAGATTAATTTCCATCCCGACACATTCAGTCAGCGCCTCTGCAGTGGAGTCAGAAACAGACTGCAAGGTGAGAAAATGTGGTAAAGAAATGTATTTATTTACCAGAGACAGTGCTCATTAATCAACACTGCTGTTTACACTTTAATGTAAATGTACTGGAGTTGGCTAATAAGGAGGTTCTAACTAAACAATACAATATAATAAATACATTACAGAAGTGACAGATGTATAAAAAAACAATCAGTTTATGCAAAGCAGGGTTCCCACTTGTTTAGAGACTAGTTTTCCAATTATGAAAACACCTGGAAATTGATTAAAAAAACGCCAAATATTCTGAAAATAATGGATGTTTTTCTGGAAATCGCCTACGTAAACTTGGGTGTGTTATTAAGTCCGAAGGATAAACTGTATAACCTTTTTAAAACAGAAGCAAAATGGATCGTTTTCGGAGATAAGTCTGTTTTTTTCCCACATCAGTTTGGCCAAAAACCGCAGCTTATAATGACTGTTGGTGAGAAAGTGCTGACTCCTGGAAAATGATGTATTAAAACGAGTGGGAACCCGTCAAAGGCCAGTGCCTGAGATTATTATACAGTTAAATCCACCTGTTTACTGTGTGTGTGTGTGTGTGTTTACCTCTGCAGGTTGGCGAAGGAAGCGTTTGACAATGCCATCGCAGAACTGGACACGCTGAGCGAGGAGAGCTATAAGGACTCAACACTTATCATGCAGTTGCTACGTGACAACTTGACACTATGGACCTCAGACGTGCAGGGAGATGGTGAGAGAGCCGTTTCCTTTTCTTCTCGGTGCTGTTTAGATACGAGCGAATACGCGACTGCGATCTACTGATGTTATCTACGGATCTTATGTTTCTGAAGCTCATTTGTTCCTTTTTAAGACCCCTGAGTGCCTTCGGTCGCAGTCCGGTTTAAGAGAGGTTTAAGGTCGTATTTTTCTGGTTTTAATGCAGAAAATAGGTATTTTTCTTGCCATAATCTGAGTTTATTATGTTTATTAAAGCTTGTAGCACGCGTTGGACTGACTGGCGGCCAGTTGGAACATTTTAACACATCGTCCAGCCCAGGACAGAAAAAGAAGCAAAACGATGAGGAATGAACGTGTTTGAAATATTAAATTAATCTGATACCATCAAAGGAAAAAGCATCTAGGAAACTAACTTTCTCTCTAACTTTCCCCTCAGCACAGAGGTCTCTCTCTCTCTCCCTCTTCTCTCTCTCTCTCGGACTCACTCGCTGCTCTAACCATCTCTCATCTCTCCTCTGTAGAGTCTTAAGGACAGCCCTCTTCCTTCACTCTTCCTCCATTGTAGAAGTGTGTTTTGTAAGTCATTCCTCTCCTGTCTTTTGGCTTTTTCCACCTTCCAAGCTATCACTCCTGTCTCACCGCCCCCACCGCCCGTCCCCGACAATCCCTCACTAACCTTCCTCACACTGCAAGGTCGAGCCTTGTTGAATGTTTTTGGGGGTTGGCGCCCTGTTTGCACACGGCTCTGCAGGACTATGGAGTACTTTCACCGGTTATCCACCTTTTTTATCTGCACGAGAGGAGCTCGAGTGCTGTGTGTGTGTTTTAGTGTCTTCAGGGTGTCCGCAAGCCGGTAAAAGTCTAAATAATGCGAGGTATAAAATACTGTTTAATATAGAGTTACTGCTCCCCCAGCCTGTGTGTGTGACTCAGTGTAATCTCTCATTGAGGTTTTCTTTTATCTGTCTTACTATAAGCAGTTGGTTTCCTTCAAAACAACAGACAGGTGTGTGTATGGACACCATGTTGGTTTATCTAGAGCTAAAATGAGGCATCAGGCCGCTAATTTAGGAAAAATAATGTAAAGTATCTTTTAAGTTTTTAGTCTTTTTGGTACAAAATTCCCTTTTTGTGTTTCCCTGAAGAGTTTCCAGAGAGAAGCTTTGTACTAAAGAGACTCGTTGGAAGATATCCAACAGATTTCTAACAGACACACACACACACACACACACACACACACACACACACAACACACACACAGACACACACACTGCTGAAACCTCATATTCAGTGTACACCTGACTGTTTGAACAAAGATTCATTTGTTAACATCCAGCAGCTCCTGTTAATGAGGACTAAATGAAACCGTTTAAATTATTATGGTATTGTTTGTGTCTCCTTTTTTAAACTGAGGTGATGCGATCCTCTGGAGAGTTGTTGGAACTACAGAAACGCTCTGATCCTGTGCAGTTGTAGTTCTTGGTGATCTTTTTAATGAGATTTTCTAAGAGTCCTGGAACAGAAACCGACAGTTCAGGTTTCACTTCAGCTCTCTCTATAAAATACAAAGCTATCTGTGAGTCGATGATTCACATTTAATTGGGGAATGTGATCAGAAACATGAGTCATGTTTTTCCACTGAGATCTGACTCAAGGATCGGGGTTAACACGGGTCATAGAAAACCTGGAAAATTCGAGTTTTACAGTCATAGAATCACTTGGAATTTGGTTAAAATGTCCAAATATCCTTGAAAATGTTATTTCATCCCTTCACTCAGATCCTCCTCAGATGTATTTTAGTTTGACAACTCCACTGTTGGTCTGATAAAATGTGCTTCAAAGCAGGTTGACAAACACTTTCTACGTCTTCTGTTAATAAGCTAATAGATGCAATTTATGTCAAATAAAATCAATTCTTCTCAATTTGAACTGTTACTTTTGGGCTGTGGCCAAAGTCGGGTTAAAGTTAGAGAAGAATTGGGTTAAATGTGTCAATAGTTGGTCTACAGGTTCATTAAAGTTGCAGTTTATGAGAAAGTGCTGTCCTGTATTGATGGATGGAGTTTGTCACGGCGGAAACTGATAAGATAACTTTTTGTATCTTTTTAAAAACAAGTTCATAACCTGTAGTTTTTACACACCTGAGGGTAAGAAACATCAAGCTCTGACTCTTCAAGTGTTGTATTAAACTTCACAAACATACTTTAGCTTTCATAGAACATGAAACCGATCACTATAGTATAATTGAATTATCACAGATCACAAAAAATCACAGATTTCCCATTACAGTCGATAATTCATGAATCTCTACCGTTGTCTACCTGTAAAATGATTTCATAAACCGAGGGAACCTCCGCTCTCTACCTGTGAGTCGATGGTTCACATTTAATTGGGGAATGTGATCAGAAACATGAGTCATGTTTTTCCACTGTGACGGATAAAGAACTCAACTCTTGGACTCTTTTAATCACAGGACTTGCGGACACCCTCCAACCGTGCACGTTAGCGCCACTGAACGCAGCCCGCTGAGGGCGTTTGGAAGCACAGTTTTGGAATAAAAAACGTGTGAACGCAGCTTATTGAAGTGTGATTATAACGGACAGAAACTGCAGTAACAGCATGCGAGGCCGCTGCTCCGCCCCCCCCCCCAGTGGCTTTCTCACATCCCCGTTAGCTGCGGTGCTAATGAGCACTGTTACGGTTTCTATTTTAATCATGAAGGATTCTCAAAGCCTTTTGTTATTTGTGCCTCTTAATTCTTCATTACACGGATGGCTGTGCCGTCTCTATGGTAACCTTTCTAAGCAACCAGTCGTACAGGTTCACGAGGCATTTTTACCCCCCCCTCCCCTTTTTGGTAAATCTGACCACGGCGCTGTGGATTAACTCTTGCTCACCGGACTGCATGTTGACACAGTCTCTCTGCAGGAGGCTTTTTAAATGTCGGGGGCTTTATTTTGGAGCATGATTGACTGACGGACGCATTTCTGAGCTGATCCTGAAGAACGATGGTTGAACGCTCTTCTTTCAGCGGTCTACAACGCGACAAAGTTTCAGTTTGACTCCAGATAAAGAGCATAAATCATCAGATGACAGCTCAGATCTTTCTCTTATTGCTTGTGCTGGTGGTGGAACAAAATGAATATCCTGTGTTAGACGGAGGAGAATCTGATCTTCCTAATGTTTGAAATTAGAGCTATTAAATTAATCTCCACTGTTTTGATAAGTGATTCATCATTTTAAGTCGTTTGATTTCAGCTTCTCAAATGTGAATATTTTCTGCTTTCTTCAGTCTATAACATTAAACTGAATATCTTTTTATGTGGAGGATAAAACAAAACATTTGAGGGACGTCCGTTCGGGCGTTTGGGAAACAGTTTTCACCATTTTCTGACATTTCATTCACAGATTAATCGAGAAACTGAATGACTGATTAAAAATAACTTTAATATGAAGCCCTAGTTTCGTTTACGGAGTCCCGCTTTTGAAGCCTCAAGTTTGGCTTAACGGTCGTCGACATGACAGTTTGTCGAAGCCAGCGGAGGTCACGTAAAGCAAGTTGAGCTGCTCTCATTGGCTGTGCAGCTTCAACTTGTATTCCAGTTTCTGAAACAGATTTTAGGAGAGAAAATAGTCGAAACAGAATCTGGATCGTTATCTGATCAGCACAGACCCGTAAGCTCTGTCTGTCCGTTATATAAACTGTCAGTGGTTCAGTTTGCCAATTCTTTACTCAACACTAAAACTATAAAACATGTAGCAGTTAATTTTACAATTTTGTGGTGACAGGAAAATATATACTGGACATTACTGGTAGAATAATCCCGATAATTCATAATAATTATAAATTTCCCATTATCGATTATTATCATTTATCCCTGCTGGTTGTTTAGGAAGCGCTTCATTTGATCCACAGCAGAGTTTTTTACTACAATTCGAGCATTTTAAACGTCAATATCTCAGACGATCGGGTTCGTTTAATGTCGGGGAGCCAAAAATCGTGATTGTTATCCCCGTCGACCTCCCGGCGAGGTCGAGGAACCACATTTAGCATTTAAAAAAGTGTTCAGAGATAACAGCAACATCCCATAATTACTCCTCTCGTGTTTTCTGTCGTTATCTCAGGTGAAGAACAGAACAAAGAAGCACTGCAAGATGCGGAGGAAGAGACCCAGTGAGACTGAACAACACAAGACAAGCCCTCCTCCTCTTCCTCCTCCTCTTCTTTCTCTCCTCCCAGCACTCGGGTTTATACCGCAGCCCACACTCTTTCTCTACCTTCTCCTCCATTTCTTTACCCATCTGTCTCACCTTTTCTCCCCCCCTCCCTCGTATGCACGTCATCTCCCAGCGCCCCCACCCGGGCCTCCGTTCCCACTCCCACCCTCACCCCCTCCCTCGGGGGGTTTTACCTTATGTTTTTTTTTTTTTTTTTTTGATGACTCATTTTTGCAAGCCTGTACCCTTTAAAAAGAAAAAGGTTCATGTCCTCTTTTACTGTCTTTATTTTGCTTTATTTTTATTTTATTTTTGCTGTATCATCTGTTGCCAAGTATGCTTGCCTGTATTTGTAACACACACTTACACACACACACACAACACACACACACACACACATATGCAAGAGTTTATTTAAAGATACTTTGCTGGGTTTTTTTTTTTTTTGTTGTTTTCCTGTGTGTATGTGTGTTTATGAACAATATCGTGTCCGTGCTTCTGTCGGGTCGGTTTTGGAAAAACAACAGTGATGGAAGGTTTAAAAAGGGATGCGTTAAAAGCTTTTAGGACAAACTATAAGTGCCCTCTTTTACTTTGTGGTTACCAAACCTGCTCCTTCAACACATCAATAGGTTGGGGGTTTTTTTTTTTTTTTTTTTTAAATAACAAACAGCAGACTGTCCCTCCCTCCCTCCCTCCCTCCACCTCCACCGCCTCCCGTTCTCCGAGCATCACTCTGACCTCTATTCTTGTCCACTCTCGGACCAAGTATTGTGCTGCGAGGCTGTAGCGCTTTTTGCTAATGGCAGATAGTTAGGTAATGGCTTTTTAGCAGACAAAACTGTGTGTGTGTGCGCGTGTGCGTGGGAGGGGAATGCTCAACACTCTTTGATTGTAATGTAATGCAGTTTTGCATTGGCACTATATTAAAAAAGAAACTAAAAATAAAAAAGAAACCAACAGTTTGGGAAATAGAGGCCTGCTGTATCTTTACTCCCCTGACTCTTTCAGGTTTTCCTCTCTCTCTCTCTCTCTCTCTCTCTCTCTCTCTCTCTCTCTCTCTCTCTCTCTCTCTCTCTCTCTCTCTCTCTCTCTCTCTCTCTCTCTCTCTCTCGTCTCTTTCCTCTCGTTTTTCCTCTCTTCCTTCTGTTCAGTATGTGTAACGTGAATCTGATTTGTACTACTGGATGTTCTCACCCGGAGCCACAAGTACCATCTGTATTCTTACTGAAACACAGCATGGAATTAACATTAAACTTTAAATTGAGAAATGTTAAATGTTGTTTGTGTTAATTCCTGTTTGAGATGTTTTTAATGGGTTTCATCACTAGAGGGCAGTGCAGGCTCACAGCAGAGGAAAGATTGAGTAGCTGAGATTGAATGCAGTGATTCTGCATTTATTCTTTTAAACAGGGTTCCCCTGCACATCCTGGAAAACCTGGAAAATTGTAGACTAGTTTTCCAGTCATGGAAACACCTGGAAATTGATTAAAATGACCCAAAAATCCTGGAAATACTCTGTTGTTGTGGTAAATTTCAATTGTATTTTAGCCTGAGCTGTGGCCAAATTAATGTCAGAGGTCATTAGACCTTTTTCACAGCAGCCGTTTTTGACATGAAATAGTCGGGTAAAAACAAAACAAAATTATATTAAGGTTCTGTTCCATTCAGCTCAAACAGTCGGGGAACATTGGAAAGGCTCTGCTACACTAAATGGAATGAAGCCTTCATGTTTGTTTACCTGACTGTTTCATGTCAGAATGGCTGCTGTGAAAAAGGTCTATTCAGATCTATGGCTGACAACAATTTGTGAGCGACTGCCGTTATTTATTGTGTTTTATAAATGATTTGTTAAACCAGCTGGAACCCAAGTTCTCAGATCCTTTAAGTAAAAGTATTAATGCCACAATGTAAAAAATACTCCATTACAAGTAAAAGTACAAAGTATTGTAGGCAATGTGTGCAGTTACCAGTTGTTTTATTTCTTTATTTAATCAGAATCAGTATTTTTATATGAAATAACTGGTGTATGTTTATCAATTCTTTAGGAAAAGATTAAATATAAACATTTGTAGGGTTGAAACTTGGTGAACTCTGAGCTACAAGTGAACACAACCAGGAGGCACAAAGTTGATACTGAATTAACCAATAAAATAAATTGAGTTATTAATCATTGATTATATTTGTTGAGAATCTAACGGAGGTTTGAACTTTTATATTTGTGTAGTCTATCTTAGCAGCTTATGCAGAATTTCTCCAAACTTAATTAATTTAAATGTATCTAAATGAATCTTTACAAAAATGTTACCACTGTAGTTGAATTTAACTGTAAAAACAGCCGATTTAAGATTAAAATAACTTTAAATTATCATAATTACTGCAGTAATTGTAACCAACTTAATATGGGTAACATCAAATATTTGCATTTTGGGGGTTCATTAAGAATTATTTGGACTTTCAATTTAAAAAAAATTAGTCAAACTGGAATTAAATCACCAAATACTTGAAATACTGCACGAATTTAAGGTAATTAAAACAACTGAGTTACTTCAACAGAGGATCATTAAGTTATATTAACTTAATTTATTAAAATATGCTGTTTTACAGTAAAAAAAAATAAAAAATGGGGGTTATTCACAGGATTAAAAATGTAAAAACACCATCACTTATCTTACAGCTGCCAGTTTATTATTATAGTGAAATAAAATTATTTGTCTTTTTAAAGCAGAAAAAAGATTGAATTTTGCTTCATGAAAATCAAGTTTTTCTGTAAAAAAAAAAAAAAAACACATTTCTGATGCTATAAAATGGTCACAGAAAGTAATCAAGTTACTTTTATACTGTGATGCTTAAGATTAGGTTACTTTTACACTCTGACTCTACGGGGCACTTTGAGTATTTGCCCCCCTGTGGTTTGACCTTAATGATGAATTTGAAGGTGGAACATGAGCTTTTGTTATTATTAAAGACCACATGGTGTTTAACACGTGTGGAGGTTAAAGCAGATTACGTGTTTATATATTTAATTCCTTTATTTATATTATTATATTTTCCTTTCTGGTGTCGTCACGTTGCTGCGTTTGCACGTTAAATTACAGCCGCATCAATCTGTCGATCATTTTCTACATTAATCGATTAGTTGTTTGGTCCAGAAAAGTGTTTTTAGCCCAATATGACACAAAACATATTCAGTTTACTATAAAAGAAGATGAAAGAAACTAGAAAATATTCACATTTAAGGATCTAAAATCTGAGAATTTTGACAGTTTTTCTTTAAAAATGACTCAAACCAACAAATTATCAAAATAATTGATTAACTAATGAACATTTAAACTGTTTTTGGTGGCTGTAATCATTCCTCCTGTCTGTCCTCAGGGGAGGATCTACAGAAATATTCACTGGATGGTGGAAATATGCTGAACAATTATATTTATTAATATTTTGCCTGAAAAAAAAACATGAAGATATTTTAATTAAAAAACAATCTATTTTGTATTGTATTAAATATTAGTAAAGCACTGAGAGAAAATCACTTTTAATGTGTTAAATTTGACACCATAATGGCTGAAAAGAGATTTTCCTTTCTAACATGATTCTGATATTCGAGATAATTATTATTTTATATTATTTATGGTTTATTTGACAGGAACAGATACAGTAAATATAGGTTTGAAACAGCTATCTAATGCAGGTATCAACATTTTTATAGCAACAACCGTCCATAGAGGGTTTAAATAAGAGGTTAAAACAGGAAGGTCAAAAATAAAAAGTTAATGAAACACAAAAAACACAGAATAATTTGGTAGCTGTCTTAAAAGTAATAAAGTTATTGTCCTTTTGTTTTATAAAATTCCCTCTTTGTTTCCATAATCAGTGTAAATTGTGTTAAAATAAACAAAACTGCTCTTTAAAGTGAGATTTTGTGAGGTTTTAATGAAAAAACTAATAAAAAGTTGGATTTTATCATCAATAAAACGATCAAATAACTTACTTTGTCTGGTGATCAATAACTTATGGTGGCTAATGTTAGCAAAAAAATGTTCAGCACTAAAATAAAAGCAGTAAACACGTCGTACCTCAGCTGTTCCACTCACTTTCAGTCCGAGTCATGTCACGAGACGAGAAGATCGATACCACTTCGATGTCTGCAACCAGCAGTCGGTTAGCTTAGCTTAGCATTACTGGAAGCAGGGTGAAGCAGCTAGCCTCCAACAAGCAGCTTTATATCTCACAAGTTAACGTGTTATATCTGCCAGTTGATTATTTGCTCACTTAAGATGTGATTGTATATTTACATGTCGCTTTTATCTTTTAACCACCTTCAAATCTTTGGTTAGCTAATAGATAGAAGCTAATAGCTTATTATAAAAGTTAGCTAATAGCTGAAAGATAAAAGTATACCAAAAAGGGGCGGGGCTTAGGGTCAACTTTCACTTTTATCTTTTAACCATCTTCAAAATGTGGTTTTCTTTATATCTAAGTAAAGTTGGCCGATGCCCGCTTATTAGGGGACATGCCAAAAAGGGGCGGGGCTTATGGAGGGTCAACTGTAAACAGCAAATCAGGGGAAGTTAAATAACACAAAGTTTCATGACAATCTTTTTTTTTGCAAACATCAAAATAACGACACAGTGAAGATTTGCAATTTGAAATTTGTTTTTACTTAAAAAAGATCAAAATAAAGATAAAATAAGACGCCGTTATTACACTTCAGCTCTAAGTACGGTATGGCAGGACAAAAAAAAAAAAAAAAAAAAAAAAAAAAGCATGACCTGAAATATTTCAGCTGGTTTCTTCGTCCAGCCAAAACCAGATGAGGAGGAGGGCGGCGGTAGCTGATGAAGATGTGGCGTCTTGTATCCTATTGCAGATTGTCCCCTCCCATTTTTGTCCCCCCAAAAAACAAACAAACAAACACACAAACAAACAAAAACAAGTGAGCGAATACATCTGCTACAGTGTGTCCAGCCCCCCCCCCTGCAGGATCCACAGTGTTTGAATTAAAGGGGGAATAAAGGGGGCCGCTAATCATTGTCCAACATATCGACACTTCAAATAACACATAGCGAGAAGGAATTTATTTATTTATTAATAGTTTTTTTTTTTGTTGTTTTTGACAAATTTCGCATCCTCGTTTTTTTATGGGAGGGGGGGTCTCTCTCTCTTTCCACACACACACACACACACACACACAATATCTAAAAGGGTCTACCCAGATAGTTTTGACTGTCGACGTTTTAAAACCAGGAGACAAACAGTTTTTTTGTTGTTGTTTTTTTTTAAATTTCTCAGTACAAAAAATAGAATCAAAGAATGAAAAAAATAGTTTATTATTCTGACTGCAGAAACTTGATTTATTATTTTATTATAAAGCTCTACTTGGAGCGACTGGTCTGGGTCTAACGTCTGCACAGTGAGGGTTGTGGTTTCTTAAGGATTGGGGGTGGAGCTACTTTAAAACATTCATCGTTGAGTATATTAATGAATTTGTATGTCACAGGTATCAGAGTATTTCGGGCAGTCGATACCCCTTCACATTAAGAGTTTTTTTTATTCTGAAATGTTCCTATATAATACAGTTTTTATTCAACACAAATCTCTTCCATCTTTATTTTTTTTGTCATTATTGCGATGAATTAAAATCTTTATAATGATTTACAAAAACAAAAACAAAAAAAAAGTCCACTACAGTATGTACATCTGTTTTAAAAAGCAAGCATGTTTTACACAGTCGTCCCTTTTTTTTATGTACAGCTAAAATTCTCCATTTAGTTTTTCACTGAATATACATATGTACTTATTTTCACAGTTTCCTATGTTTTGCTCATATATTCAATATCAATAGATTTTATTTATTTTTATAATCCTCATTGTTATTATGAATACAAATATTATTCGTCGTCGTCTCCACCATGGCGCCGAGCTACAACTCTCCCAGCGTCGCTCGTTGATATCTAGTGAGATCGTCGTCTCTCTCGAACGCCGCCGGCGAAAAAACACAGTTTTTTTGTTTTTTTTTAAAACAATCTTGATTGTGGTTCAGTTTTTCTTTTTGCCAAATTCACAGCAAATCCCCAACAACAACAACAACAACTAAAAAAAAACCCAAAAGAAATGCACAGTTCAGTTTCAAGTTTACAGTTTTCTGGTCTTCGTCTTTTTTTTATCATCATATATTATGATATTATTCCGTCCTCGCCATTTCCAGGTTCCTCTTCCGACGCCGGAGCGGTACAAAGGTTGAGTGGCTCCCGGCGAGATTCCCCTAGTTTACCCTT